TATAAAAAAAATATGTACTTACCTCTAGAATATAGAATATGTAATTACCATTTAAATGGTAACTCTTGCAATGTACTTATAGAATCAACAATATAATCCTATTAAAACGTTTAGTGCAGCACAAATTGAAGATTTTGCTACATTATAGAAAGATAATATTCACATCATATAGACTGAAAATATTGAGAGTATGCCTGAGCATACTATAATTTTTTTATTTAGGACAACAAACAATTAAATAATAATGCTTAAACCAAATAACTATTTATAAATAACATTAGTCTTAGTCCTTATGTAACCAGAACCGTTATCTACAAAGAAATATTAAATTGGTAACAATAAATAATAATGAGAGATGGGAATACTTTATGAATACCCTATAATAATATTAATAACTAACAGAGTATAAGTGAAAAAGAAATATACATTATTATCTGGCTACAAATTCTGTCTGAAGTTGCGAGACTGTCAAGTAAATATTATAGATAGTGACGAACAAGCAAGTTCCATGCAAGTTCCAAGAAGTACATTAGAGCTGCTCATGAATATGGCCTGTGAAACATTAAATCAGGATTTTGTTTCTATGAATGTAGACACAAATCATATATCCCAAGCAGAAATAGCTGTAAGAAATCTTCTCATTCCAAATGGATTTTGTCGGGTAGTTGTCTCCAGCTAATGGTGAATTTCAGTTAATGACAAGATATGCTGATTCCAGGCCGTGTTGGGTAGTAAAGGTGGTGAATGGCATTTTTAAAACTGAATTTAAAATATTTCGCCAAAATTACTTTAACAGGGCTTCTACACATTTGATGATAGAGTGGCTGCTGCTCTAATTAATAAATTCCACACAAAAATAAGGGACAGGGATGATGCGGCTTAAATACTTGAAATAGTTCACCAAAATATGGAGACAAATAATGATTTGTCTGAGTATGCTAGGGAAAGCAATCTAAATAGAGCTAGGGCAGACTTTAGAAATATAAATGTATACTAAAAATGTTAGGGAATTTCCTGTTTTAACGACTTAATATTAATTGCTTGTGGCACATACCAATTAAAGCAAGCTCACTCCTATTATGGTGAGCATATAAGATTTAATGATTGCTACCGGATAGAACTCTGTAATAACTACAGGAGCAGCATTTTGGAAGGAATAAACTTTAGCCCTAGCTGATCTCTACTTAGTGTCGTAAAGTGTATTTTATATATATTTTAATTAGTGGCAATGGTTCTGGTAGAAGTGCATTTAAAAAGTATTGTTGCAATTGTATTGTCGGCCGTCGAACAGCATGATGCTGTGCCCATGTTATGACATTAATATGGTATTTGGGTTGAGCACGGCATCAAACTTATATTTTGTCTCCTGCTCATTTCCTGGATGATGTATTGATGTATAAATTAGAGGCAAATATATAGCTTTCCTAGATGCGTTAGTCATCCAAAATCCTAACAACACCATAGGTCACACTGTGTATAGAAAACAATGCATCTCACCATCATCCTTCACAAGTTAGCTACCGTTAGCAGATCTTTGTTACAGAGAGCACAAGGGATCTGTGACAGCAAACATGTGGCTGTCGGGCTTCAATACGTCAAGCAGGTTCTGCACAAGCTTCGGGTCCCGCGCCTACGTCACAGTGACCGAGTGAAGCCGGCCACAGTCAAGAGTGTGCAGTACAACCATATGTCAGGGGTGTCACAGACTAGATCGGCTACATCTTGAAGCGAGCTTCTATTAGAACATTCTACCAGCCTCTGAAGAAGATTAGTGAGTTCTTACCATCAATCAAGTGTCATATTCTTCTAAAAGGTGCAGGAGTGTACACCCTTGGTTGTGAATGTGGTCTCTCATGTATAGTGCAAACAAAAAGAACAATTAAAACCTGCATAAAAGAACATATAGCTGACGTGAAGCATTAAAGTTCAGGGAAGTTTGCAGTTTGTGATCATATCCTAGACGGCCCCAACCAGATAGACGAAGGAACATCAATTCGTATCAAGGATGATACGTGAGACTATTGAAATAAAAAAAATCCTTATTTAAATAAAGAAGGAGGCTTGGTACTACCACCTGCTGGGGACCCTTTAATTAATTAAATTAAAACTAAACCCAAGCATACCACTGCAAGACTTCAAGACACAGTAAGTTCATTCTGTAGATCGGACTATAAATAAAAAAATTTAAAATCTGAAGGTATTCCAGGAACCTGACTGGGGTCAGTCACCTCAGTCCGCCGTGATCACGGGTGCTGAAAAGCACCCGAAACGTCTGGAATTAAAAATCAAAGAAATAAAACGAAAAAATTGATAAAAGTAGTTGTTAAAAAAACTGGATTTGTGAAAATAAAAACTTATATATCTTTAAAATCCCGTCTTTTTTTAAAGCAAGTCCTTTAACATTTCATTCTTTTGATTGCATATTATCATATCTATATACTTTTATATGTGGGAACCCATAGCCAAAGTGTCTATGTAGAGTGGGCAATCCCCTTTGATCAAGTTCATCACGTATATATCTTCATCAATTTTTTTATATTATATGGCATTGAGGCTCTATTTTAAATATATAAATAATACTAATTTTTACAGATTTTATCGCGTATATTTAATTTTTTAAATACCCGACGTTTTGAGCACTTTACAACACCCATGGTCACGGGGGAGACTGAGATGTTCAACGTCTAGATGTCATAGTTAACCGCGGTTACCATAGATTAAAATTATTAATTTTTGTTCAGATCTATGCAGTACGAACTTATAGTATCTTAAAGTCTTGCAGTTGTATGCTTGGGTTGGGGTTAAATTTTATTAATTATAGTGATAGCACTCAGTCATCTTTTTGATTAGGTGTTTTTTATTCAATAGCCTCTCGAATCATCCTTGGAAGGAATCGGTGTTTTTAGCGAGGATTTGTCGTCTATCAAATCTGATGTAGTGACGGGTGCAATCCTGTACGTGTTCACAGACTGCAGACTTCTCAGAGCGTCGATTCTTCACATCAGCTGTATGTTCTTTAACGCGGGTTTTAATTTATCTTTTAGTTTATCCTATGTAAGAGAGACCACATTCACATTCAAGCATGTACATTCCTGTATCTTGCAGAGAGACGTTACACTTGACTGATGGTAAAAACTGACCAATCTTCTTTGGCAGTTTGAAGTATGTTTTAATGGAAGCGCACTTCAAAATATAGCCAATCTTGTCAGTGACTCCTCTAACATATGGCAGTACAGCAGGTTCGTTCAGGATCGACTGTGACCGGCTTCACTCGTTCACTGTGATGTAGGCGCGGGACCCGAAGCTTATTGTCGTGCAAAACTTGCTTGACGTGTTGGAGCTCGGCAGCCTGGTGTTTTTCTGTCACAGAAAAAGTTAAATATATAAAATCCATAAAAAATAGTATTATTTAAATGTGTAGTGTTCGCGTAAACATAAGAAATCATTATCTATTTTAAATAGTTCCACTAAGTAAATTAAATTGACCAGAGAGAGTAATAAGTTGAGAACAATGTTATTGATTATATAAGGAAGATTTGTCTAAGTATTGGTTATGTATTATGTAAGCGTGTAGTGGTACGGTATGGAATTAAAAATATATAGGAGTGTCATTAGGATGTCGAGTGCAGAGTAATGAAGAAACGTAATAAGATAATATGTGTCGAACAAAATAAAATAATAAATAATCTAGGCTTGTACAATACGTTATTTGAATAATTTGTCGCAAAAACATTTTTCTTATTATATACAATATAAACTGGATTGATAGTCATGTGTTGGATTCTTTTGCAAGATCTACTTCTTCATCAATTCTTATTTGTGGACATCGTTCCTTCTTCCGTAAGTATATTTTTCCATAAGATAACCAACAGAAAGCATATCGTTTAAGCAAAGTGTCGAGCGAGGAAAAATAATATTTTTAATCGATTTAATTGAGCGTGTACCTGCTGTAATGCCATATGTTAGAGGAGTCACTGACAAGATTGGCTAAATCTTGAAGCGCGCTTCATTAAAAAATACTTCAAGCTGCCGAATAAGATTGGTCAGTTTTTACCATCAGTCAAGTGTAACGTCCCTCTGCAAAATGCAGGAATGTACAAGCTTAATTTTATACGTTGTCATGTTCGCTAGGTGTTTTTTGAGATTCCACAACTGAAGCGGTGCTGCCGTAATCCTGGTCTACAGGTCCCCTCTCCAAAAGGAAAAGACCTTTCGACAAATTTAGATGTTGCAGGACCCTGGGAATAAGCGGCGGCAAGAAAACTTCTTCTAACCATGGCCTGCTAAAAGCATTTATGAAGCATGCTTCCTGGTCTTCGGCTTCTATCGTCACATACTGCTATACCACTTTGGACCTGCTCATGGCAAACAATTCTACCTTGGGAGTTCTTCATATCTTGAGGATCACTTTGGTCAGGCTGGACTTCAGGTGCCAGTCTGTTAACGGTAATCCCCCGGACAATCTGTCTGCTAGGCAATCGTATGAGCCTGGCAGGTAAAAAGTACTGGTTGAATCTGGAAACGATGCGTTATTAAAAGTTGTTTGACTCTTCTAGGATTCCCATCTCCAATAGTTTTTGCAGCTCTTGCGATATCTGACGGGTTATTTTTGTCTTGAATTTCTCTATATTCTTTTTGGAAAAAGGAACTGAAGTTATTTTTTTATAAATGGTATCGAATACCCCCAATTGTTTTCAAAATATGATCTGGAGCTCCCAGCTTGCGCCATTGGGGAATATAAAACTTTAGCTGGCCCGTTCAAAACTTGCAGTCATAGCCTAATCGACTTCCGGTATTTTTACCGAAGTCACTTTTTTGCAGCCCTTTCTTGTTTTCTTGGCGCTATGCTTACGAAAGGAAGCACGAGACGATAACAGTAGTTTTAATTTCTGATAGGAAGAGTTACCTGAAGTATTCATTCACTGAGAACGATTGTCTATTAATTCATAAGGAAATTTCTCCTTAAGTAGTCTTCGACCATTTTTTACTAGACCTCCTCACTAATCAAGAAATTTGGAGAGTAGATCTTCATCGAATAAATGAGTCTCTGATGGAGGAATTTCCGATAGTTTCATTACGTGGTGCTGTTCCTTGGGTTTGAAGGCCTTTCTTTGTATTTCGATGACCTCCGCCCTTCTGGCACACGTGATCTGCAATACATCATCCGAAATCTCTTTGAACTGGGATTCTATTAAGAACACTTGCTTGATGGCCTCATAAGCTCCCGGATGTTTGGCGGTCAAAGATTTTATTCCCTTCATCAGTATTTGTCTGTGTTTCGATAAGACATGAGTTAAAGTTTCCGTTAACTCATCCGCTCGTTCCAAAAGCGTTTGATTATAAGATTTCGAAACTAAACCTTCCAAATGATTGTTAACCTTCAGCAAGTCGAAACTAGAGACATGTGAAGCTTCTTTTGGATCTCCTTGTATCTGATCGTGTTCCAACCTGAGGAACCAAACTTCTGGCAAGAAATTCCTTGCGCTTTGATACCTGCCAATGGAAGAGGGATGGAAGGCTCTTTTTCTTTCACCTGAGGTACAAACGACAAAACTTCAAGGTAATTCACCGGATCCTTCGGTAAATCTTCCATCACTGGCGGAGTCTAGTTCTCTGATACTGTTGAACAAGTGCCATCACTAGAGCACTCTGACTGATTATCTGACGGACGATTTCAAACATATGTTTCATCTCATCTTGTAGAGCTGCTACTTTAGATCTCTTTGTCACAGGACTCTTATTATCGTAATGAATAGACTCGGTCTTTTTAAACTCGGATATTCATTTTCTGCTACTTGCTTGCGTGAGATACAAAACGGCTAAACCAGTTCAATAGCATGCAGAAAAATCTACGCCTGCCCAACAGAACCTTAAGTTTATTGACTAAGCTCGGAGGGCTCATGATGAATACCCTACAAAAGGGAGAGTTCAACATGGCTACCTTGTGATCACGATATTGTTTTTCTGGTAAATCCACAGCCAGTGGATTAAAAGCTTGAGCCAAACCTACTGTTGGCAAGGCAAAACGCAGTTTTTTTATTTATTAACATAGTAAATACAATTGGTTCAAAAAACATTAAGTTCGCCAAACTAAGAATACAGTTTATTGGTTTATTCAATATATGTGAGTCCACGTTCGGCTCATTCCCAAACAGAGCTTCTTTGGAAAGATCCAACGTCCTCCAGTTTAATCAGCCAACCAGTAACGATTCCTAAGCCAACAGCTTAATCCGGTCTAAGATTCTGTCATCCTCTGCTGTGCCTGCTGATACCTCCAACAATTCCTCCATTGTTATCCAGCCTAGTTTTCGACCCATCTGAAACATTCCAGGACTCCATTAAGAGGTATCCTCTACACAAATGTGAGTATTTTGCTCGAGATAGAATACCTGCGAACTTTAATTCATACTTGCATACATCTCGGCTGCCGTTGCGTCTTGGCTGCGGCTGAAGGAACGTTTCAGCTGCGCTTCGGATGCTGTCACGTCTCGGCTGCCATTGCGTCTCGGCTACGGCTGCCGTTGCGCCTCAGCTGCGGCTGCGGCTGCTATAACCTCACCTTGGCTGATAAGGAGTCCCGTGGGAGCTACCTTTCTTTGCCAGACGAGCCCTGACGGCTGCGTCTCTCGAGCCTTGACAGCTGCGCCTCGCAAGCCTTGACGGCTTCGCCTCGCGAGCTTTAACGGCTGCGCATCGCAAGCCTTTACGGCTACTGTTGCGGCTGATGAAGTGAAATAAACGCCACTTGACGACATAAATGTATAAAATATCCCAGCATAAACTGAAATATAAAACATTATCGTTCTTACACATTATCATTCTTATCTTTTTCTTAATATTCTGCCACTAATGGTCACAATTAATTGAACACTTTTTCGAACGCTTCACAACGTTATACACATGTACACAATGCTCAGAAAACGACAGTGTACTGAGGAATGCGACCGCGGGCCGGTCGCGCTAGCCGCCACAAACTTCAAGGGCGTGGTAAGGGGGGGGGGACGAAGCCCATTTGGAGCCCTCTAGTAGTTAATTTGGCAGGTACACATGAAAAGTATTACGGTGGGTATACTCCGAAAAGTCAAGCCGAAGGCACAGACCTGAAATATTTAATAAAAACTAACAGCTGCCTTAAAAGAACTATAAATAGTAAAATAATTTCCACATAACTTCATTTGAAGTCGAAACTTTAATTCTTCTATGCAATATGTTTAATTTAATCATCTCTTCAAAAACTTTGTCAAAAATATTTGTACTTTTCGACATATTTGTAGAATTTAACAAATAAACATTTTGAATTACTTCTTAATAAAGTTGAATTACTTCTTAATAATTGCCACAAAGTGTTTGCGTGTTTTATCAGGTCATCACTCCATCTTGTTGTGCAACACAACGCTTGCCAGTACGAGGTTGCCACTTGAGCACCTTTCTTACCACCGGTTTTCGGTTCTTCTAGCTATATTACCGGCCCATTGCCACTTCAGTGTACTGATCTGCTAGGTGAAGGTTCTCCGCATTTTCTACGCATCTCTACCTTTATTCTGTGATGTTAGCGCTGTTAGCCTATGCGGTTCATACAGCTTCAACTGACTCAACCTTTTTTTCAGAGAGAGAGCCTTTTAGGCCACGAGCTTTTCTACGCAGCGGTCCTCTTCTAGCCCAGCAGATTAGTATACAATACATACAAATAAATAATAAAAAGAAATAAATAAATATCACTTCAAGTTATGCCTGAAAATAATCTCTTATATCAAAACAGGAATTGTCTTTCTTCTTAAAAAACATCCTCAAATAGTCTTAGTCTAGTAGTAGTCAAAATAGTCTAGTCTCGTTGACAAATAATGCAAATCGAATTTGCAATCTACATTATCCAAATAGCTCATAAATAAGCCTTCTGTGAATTGCGGCGTTTATTTTTTTTTTTCCCCAACTTTCTGCCTGTTTGCAGTAATCTTAATCATATATAATTTTATTTTAATAAATTTTTCCCTTCGACATGCTTCGTCATAATATTTTCAAATACATACCGAAGTGTCGTATGAAATAGGGAAATCAAAAACTGTCACTTCTTTTAATTCGAGAATAAAACTAAAACTTCTTCCCAAATTAAATTTTTAATTTATTTAATAATTTAAAAAGATATATTTAAATTTATTTCATTAAATAAAATTTAAAAATTCTTAAATCTAAGTAAAAAACATAAAAAATAAAACCAAAATGAATTATATATTCTTATTGTCGAGACTCGGGCAAAATTTCTTAAATCATTCTGACCGGCATCACTGCTACTCGTCGTCCATGCTTTTTTTTTATGCATTCAAACGAGCATGCGGCTAACCTGATGTTAAGTGACTACCGCCGCCCATGGTCAATCGCAACATCAGGTGCGTTTCCGGCCCTTTAGAAAGGAGTAAGCTCTTCTTGAAGGTTCCCAGGTCGTATCGGTCCGGAAAAGTCGCCGGTGGTAAACTATTCCACAGAGAGGTCGTACGCGGAAGAAAATTCCTTTTGAAACGTACAGTGGTGGACCGCCAAGCATCCAGATGGTGTGGATGGTATCGGGACGTTTGCCGCGTAGTGCGTTCACGAAATTTGGCGGCTGGGATTAATCCGAACAATTCCTCAGAGCACTCCCCATGATATATGCGAAAAAAATGCAAAGAGATGCAACATCTCTTCGCAGCGCCAGTGAATCGAGCCGATCGGAAAGCACTCGGTCGTCGACGATTCGAGTCGCTCTGTGGATGCTCAAGTGGAAGGAGCTGGTACTGGGGAGCCCCAGCCCAGAGATGAGAACAGTATTCCATGTGCGGCCGAACCTGCGCCTTGTAAAGTTGCAGACGGTGTGCCGGCATGAAATACTGTCCCGCTCTGCTGAGCACGCCAGGCTTTTTAGAGGTCAATTTGGCCTTTTCTTTCAAGTGTTTGGGTTTGTAATGAGAGCCTGTAATGATTTCACCAACCCAGCAACATATATCTTTTTGTATAAGGCACTGATACGCTCTCAGTTGGAATACGCTGTTGCTTTGTGGAATCCTTTTTTATAATGTCTATATCGATCGGATTGAGAGGGTACAAAAAAAGTTTTTTAAGTCAATGTTCTATAGATGTAAGCATACATATTGTTCGTATAATTCTATATTAAATAAATACAAAATGTTAACTTTAAAGCTCAGATGACAACAATTAGTAGCAATGTTATTATTTGACCTTTGCCATAATAGATGTGATTGCATTCCTGTAACAAATAAATTGCGATATCGTGTACCTACTCGATATGTATCGCTCGTCAAACAATTGCCCTTCCCTTGTCTGTAGAACCAATGCTGGCAAAAGAGCGCCGTTGTATCGCTTAATGCAAAATTATAATGATCCCTTTTGGGACATTGACATTTTTAATAACAGTGCTAACTCCTATAGAAGCAAAGTGATTAATAAGCTTATGAGTCGTGTTAACTAAAAACTAAATAAAATATATCAAAACATTATTTAAATCATATAATTTTTTTGAAATCAAAACTAAAATGTGAACAGCTTTTTTTTTCATTTTGTGATATTGCATATTATGTAGTAAGTCCTCCTTCACATCTCTCACTTTTGTAATTTATCCTATAAATTATTATCTGAGGCTGGTGGTGTTGGCTTCACTAAACTCAAATTTTAGGATTAAGATTAGTTATTAAGCCTCTGTTGAAGCTGTTTACTGGTCCTTAAATAAACTAAAAAAAAGTGACCACGAAATTGCACGTCACTCGATATGTTGACGCCGAGGATTCAGATACTGGCTGAGGCAACAAGAGGAGTGCCTTGATACTGAAGAGATACGATAAAGGGGTTCTTTTTTGCGGTTAACGCGCAAACTTGTGTCTTCTGGGGGTTAAACTGGACTAGATTTAGTCGCCCCCAATCCGAGACTCTGTTCAGCAGAAACTTGACTTCAGACACAAGTCTGTTCCGGCACTCGGAGGCGTTTTCCCGAGAAATATTGGCACGGCCGATGTACAGAGCATCACCAGTGCTGTCATCTGCATAGCAATGAATGTTACGGGTTTGCAACATATCATTAATATGTAGAAAAAACAGCGTTGGTGATAGCTTGCAGCCTTGCGGAACACCAGCATTAATAAGCTTGTAATCGGAGCTTGCACCGTCTACAACGACTTTGATGCACCGATCTGCAAGAAAGCTGGTGATCTAATCACACAATTTCTCGGGAAGCCCAAAGGAAGAACCCGATCGAATCTTCGCAATGTCCAAACCGGCCAATTCTCCCCCTTGACTCTACTGCCTCGCACCATGTGAGTTAAGTAGAAGATAGGCGACGAAATATTGGCGATACTAATAGTGGTGATCCTCAAGGTACCTCATGAGCTGGCAGTTAACAATAGACACTATTGTTTTGGATAACAAGTAGGTGATGGCGATAGGCCGGTAGTTGAACGGGTCTGAGCGGTCACTTACAAGTTCTAAGTGAACGGCCTTAGTGGCGAGGCACACGAAAACGCACAGATAGACCTTATGTGAACGCGCGTTACGAAGGTTGGAGGACTTGACGAGGAAGAGGCCAGCAAAGTCGGTTTCGACTCCGGCGAATGGTCGGATGGCCCTGACGCGGTCGGGTGGTAAGTCACACCCATCATCGGCTGCTATATGGTGGCCTTCAATTTATAACAAGGTATTCACTTAAAAATTACGCTCCGAATGGTGCGTTGGCCAGCCAAAATCCAAAACTCCCGCTGCAAAATAGCCGAAACAGCGTAACACCGTAAAAATGTAAAATGTCACAAACTCTGGTAATAAGCTCAGCTAACAATCTGTTAACATATAACGTTGAATATAATAAGTTACTTAAATATTTTATCTTCAAATAAAACGTTAGATATTTAGAGCCCTAGTCTTCCCACCAACCAAGTGGAGGCTATACAGCTTGTGAACCCGAATCCAATAGAGCGCGAACCGTTAAACAGTCGCCAATCGGGTTGTGTACTGTACGCCTTCACTGAGGCCGTCGGCAATAGAACAGGTTGACAAGTGGACTGTTGACGGCTCAGTGGATCAGTGGAGGCGGCCGTGGTGGGAGCTAGGGCGGCCGCTACCTAGCTGGAGCGGCCTCCATCGGACCGGCACTCGAACCGGTGGTCCCGAATGCGGCATTCCGGCGGCCTCTCAATGACACGTGGTTTGAATTCACCGAACGGGCCGACCTGGGGAGCTTCGGGGAACCTCGGCCTTGAGGCCCGAGACAAATTAGAGGTCGCAGGAATCCCGTAGTACCGGTACCGACCAAAGGAGGGAGGGTGGTACTCCAGTCGCGGCCTCTCAGCTAACGGGGGTGAGAAGGGTCTAGCTGACCGCTGAGTGGCCGTGAAGTTCCTCTCAACACGCTGAGCGGGGGTGACGAACCCCTCGCCCCTGATGGAACGACCCCCCGACTGGTCAGGGAGGGACCCCCTTCAAACCCAGGGGCACGGTGGCCGGCAGGGGAGCGCCGAGTGTCGCCCGTCAGAGGGCGTGGCTGAGCGCCCCCGCCCGTGGGGGTTGAGGGCCCAATAGAGCCCCGAGAGAAAGCGCCGTTCGCACCCAGGCACAAAATGGCATGGTGGTTGCCCTGGCAGTGTGGACAGGGCCGCTGGTGCGAGCAGTCTCATTGGAGATGCCTTTCCAAGCACGAGTAGCACCAGCGGCGCTCCTTGGCGATGGTTCGTCTCGCTGGGACCGGCTTACCTAATAATTTCGGGCACAACGTCACTCGGTG